TTGAAGACATTAAAATTAGAGCTCTACCTTACACCAGTCTTCAAAATACATTAGTAATAATGATAGTGATGAGGATGAATAAGAAAGACCTTAAATAAAGTAAAACACCTGTGTTGGGGGGGTTGAAATGTGACTACATCAGAGTTTAAAGGTTCAGGTCATCTTTTGTCATGCATAAATTAGATGTTAAGAAAGTCAAAGACAAGCCACAAACAGAAAGAAAGCATTGGCAACATTTACAACAGCTAAATGATCAACATTTAAAATACATAGAAAGATCTCAACACAAAGACAAGGGATATAAATGGATAATCCGTGTAAGAAAAAACAGAAATGGCCAATAAAACGTATGAGAATATACACAGTTTATTAGCAAATCAGGCAAAGGTAGATTGAAACAAAGAGATATACTGGTTGCATCAGATTGGCAAAAATTAAAATGTTACCTATGAGTGTTGGTCGGGCTTGAGAAAATAATTTCTCTCATATAAGACTGGTAGGGTTGTAGATGATAGAGCCATCAACTAAAATTTAGGAGAGATGGCCTTCTATCAGCAATCGCACTGCTTAGCATTTACCTTACGGAACCCCTTCCCCAGCATCCTAGAGAGGAATATACAAGACTGACTTGCTCTATATTACAGGATTATTTGCTTCAACCCAAAACTAGAAACAGGCAAACAGACACCAAGAATCATTCAATGAGAATTTTTTTATTCTTGGATACAATGTAGTAATCCGTCCTCTGAGACACAATAGAGCAATTTATTTATTTATTTTTATTTTTTATTTTGAAGGTGTGGGGTGCAATTCAGGGTGGGGTATACAAATGGTCATTATACAGGTACCCTTGTTGATGAGGTTTGCCCTCCCTCCCCCGGTAGTTTCCCACTAGTGCTAATCCTACCTCCACCCTCCCCTGGCAGTTTCCCACTACTTCAATCCCTTTCTTATAGTATTATGATAGTTGTTCAAGGTCTGCTTATGAGTGAGAACATGTGATACTCAGTTCCTTGTTTCTGTGATAGATCACTCAATATTACAGCCTCTAAGTTCATCCAGTTGCTGCGGAGTTCATAATTTTGTCCATCTTTATGGAAACTCAAATGAATGAGTTAGAGACACATGTATTAACATGGAAAGTTCTCTAAGATATTCTGTGAAGTGAAAAGGAAGTTCTGGAACAGTCAAAATAACGTATTTTAGGATAAAAATTGACATAAACAAAACAAAATGAACTATTCCCATAGTTATGCATGCACAAATTCATCTAAAAGAGACCTAAGAAGAAACTATCAAACTGTTACCAGTAGTTGACTCTGAAAAAGGACTCAGATTGGAGTCACTGAGAAGGTGTAGTTTAAGGATAGTTATCCTGCTTTACTTGTTTACAAAATCAAAGTATTTGCATTGATTTGCAAAATTAAAAATAAGTAAACTCTGTAACAAAGAGAGCAGTGGAAGTCTTTCATTTAAAATGTGTATGTGTGTTTTCCCTCCTTCCTTTTTAAATTTAATTATGTGTTCCTCCTCCCTTCCTCTAAGATACTGTTTTGGGGATACAAGGAAGGGTATGAACTATATTGAACTTTTGGGATCTGAACTAGTAGCAACTAGTTTTATTTTTACACTAACGTTGGCACAGAAGCAGGGCATCAAGTTGCAAGACAGAGGTCCACAATGTTTCAGATTCTGGCAAGATAGATTTGTGTTAGCTTTTTAACATTGACCCTTTTATCTTCTTTAGACTTCTTTCTAAATTGTGGTGCAGATTCTTATAGTTAATGTGGTTTTCACGGCTAACACTTCCTTTCTTGGTTTCTCGTGCCCACTTGGTGCAGATACAAGGAAAAGTTATGGCCTAATGCAGGCAACCTTTCAAGCACTCAAGTTGTGCAGGACTCCCTCACATCCATCCATGATTACAAGCAAACTCACTCTCTTCACACCATCCACATTTACACAAGAAAAACTACTGAGCTCAAAATAGCCATATTCAGAAACCCCTTTTTGCTAATTTTATTCAATAAGATTTTCAGAGCCAACAATAAAGCAGAAAGAATTATTAAAATAAGTCCAGAGCCATTACAAAGTATGAACATTTATCCCTAAAAATGATACTCACGTTTATCTGCTTCCACCAACCCCAAACATTCTGTCAATGTTTCACTAAAGCACATTTCTGCTACCTAAAAATGACTTGCTAGCTTTGGCTTTTTAATTCCTATATCCGTCATCTGTGTTGCCTGTCTTCTTTGTCACCTGTCATTTCTATGGTTACAAATCAAAGGTAGCGTATCATTGTCTATAGAGAGGAAAGCCAGTGGCTCGAAATCAGCGACTTTGTTTCAAGGTATGATGTAGCCATGATAAGAGGAGGACATGGGTAAGACATAGTAAAATGGTAACTTTCCTCCAGTGCTATTTAAAAAATAAAATAAATAAACCTCTTGTAATAATGCTGTTTACCAAGGGCTTCTTAAAGCCATTCAGCTTGTCTCTGAGCAGACTAGGCTTTAGGAGATTGTTGATCAAAGTGCTTTGGTATAAGCTTCATGGACCAAAGAGGGAACATATTGGGAAGCCTCTCAAAGGGAAAACAGAGGAATATTATAATAAATGCCAATGCAAGCTTTCTAATCAATGGAAAACACAGTGTGTAAGATCAAGTGATAAACTTGAAGGTATCATATTTTTTTCTCTGAGAAATGGTCTTTGTTATCCATGTGACAGATTCTTAAAACTAATTGCCAGAAAAGAAATATTTTAAAGAAGGTGATTCTCTAAGTAGCATCATGATTGTAGCATCCAGTCACCTATGCAAAAACATCAACTAAAAGCTGGGCCAGTCATTCTTTATTTGCATGCACCATTTCTTCTAGCATACATTTACTCTAATACATCACTCAAAGTCGTCCATCTCCTAAAAGTGGATGAATCACTCATTCTGATTCCAGAACTGGGCTTAAAGCCAGAAAGAAAACGACAAACTTGAAAGCACCATAAGTTTAATTTTTTTCTTAAGTCCTCTCACCTTTTGGATTCTAAGATATATGATCATTGACTAAAAAATAAGCCTCCAAGCTCTGAAAAATGACTGAGGGATGACTTAGGTGTTTAAAAGTGAAAAGTAAAATTTACCATCTCTTGGCTAGAACTATAAGATTAATATCCAAGACAAGTAAAGTAATAAAGAGATAAAAGGAGCTGCTACCACATTATCTGTTTCAGTTGGTTGTAAACAGCATTATAACTAAGAGAAAAAAACTGGTATAAAAAATCAAAATACATTTTCTTACATTTGAAAATAAATGTGGGTCAAAATACTGGGTTCACAACAGAGATACAGCAAAGAGCACTTGCTCCTAAACTCTCTTAAGCAAAGAAATATTTATGATTGGTCTTGGAGGGGAGCTTAACTGAGTTGCCATGAATTATTTAAAAACCCCAAAATATCTTCAGTTGCTTTTATAGAAACTTGATTTACAAGCTGAAAAATCAAACTGACAGTTTGGTCTCTTGTACAAACACTCAACCTTTAGAAATGCTTTAGGCAATATAAATACATTTTTCATGAATATAGCTGCAACAGTACTAAAAATAGCCTTTAAGAGGAAAAAAAACCCAAAAAAAACAAAGCGTCTTGCAAGCCATTGTTTTACACATAACAGCAGGAAACCAAACAGAATGTCAAAGCCAAAGTGATTAACCCACTTATAATAAACATGAACATTAAGTAGAAAATTGTACTCAAATACAATTTTTTATACTAGCATAGGGTCTGTGGTTACCGCCCCCCCCCCCCCAAATCTGTGGCCACAGTTGGTTCCAGGGTCTAAGAATTCAGAAATTCACTACAGGACCACAAGGCTGAAGTTTACCTTTCAGATGATGTGTAAAGAAACCCAGAAGCCCATTTGGGACTGGTCCTGGGGCCAGACATAGCTTCCAGCACCCTGAGAGATCTCCCAGGATCCACACTCACCCCCACCAAGCCGTTGTGCAGGACCATTTCCACCCCACTCCTCATAGGAGTAACTGAGCTGTCTCCAAAGGCAGAAGGTGAGGTGGCCGCGCCAGGAACTTTGGATATAAGGACCCAGTGTGGAGTTTTCATAGAGCCAACAATTTGGCCCCCCTTCATCTGCAACTGTGGAGGTCCCAGGTATTCAGTAGTATGCTGAATTAGTTTCAATATGTGTTGTACTCTCAAGAAACCCTATCCCATCTCTCCATATATCAGAACCTAAAGAACCAAAATATTATATATTCTGTGGCCTCTGAGGTTCAAGTATAGAATTGTGGCAATGATTCTTGAAATAATGAACACTTTCTATGAATAGTCTCATCTAACTGCCCATTAAACTACAAATAAATCTTATTATCAGCAGATATTCTACTTTTTAATAATTTGACACAGAATCACCAACTGGTTTCATAATAAATGAGATACTAAATCCATGGTATTGTGGGCAGAAAGCTAATTTAGAAAGGCAGCCCTGAAAACTTCAGGAATTAACTAATTTTTTTTTCTGACATGAGCAAATGATCAAGGCCAAATTCCTGCTCATGCTGGGAAAGTCCTTAATGGACAGCACAGGAGAGAAGGGAGAGAAAGGAAATGCCAAGGGTATGGCCACTGGGGTCAAAAGTTATTTTCTCATCATCTCTATTCATTCTTTATGAATGAAAACTTAAATCAGTAATACTGCCTAACTATATTTTATACCCAATGTAATTCATATTTCCATGTTCTTGTCCTAACAAATAATATAAGCAGAACTGAAAAATAATGTCAATGGTTGTAGAATTGGCAAATCTAATATTAGGTGCTCTTGAAAAGTCCCAAGGCATTTGGTCTTAGATATTCTTTTAAATCCTTAAATAAATTGCAAAGGGTCATCTGTGAAATGGATATATTTATACAGATAAGATATAAAAATATTTTGCAAAGTAGCAACAAACTGGAAAATGTAAGAAAGACATATCTTATTTCTTACCTTATTTTGATCTGTCCAGTAAAAGAAAAATCCCTGAGGGTCAGTCCTCAAAATAATTGGAGTAACAATAGTCGAGTCCTAGAAATATAACAAAAATATGCATATGAATACATATCACTGTGGAAAAATCTACACAGGAGTTACTTAAGAAGTAATAATTGTAAAGAAATTTTCCAAAGTTGTCAATTATTAAGAAAAATTTCTAAAAAAAATACACATGACATTTTCAACTTCACAGAATTATTAAATATGTCTCTGCAATACTCTCCCAATAATCAAAATTTTTGTACACAACTTCAGAAGGAAAAAGCCCATGATGCATTTATTGATTAAGGCAAGTTTTTTACAAAGGCATCGACATGTTTTCTATTAAAAACCTATTCTGAGTTTTCCAAATAATTTTTAACTAAACATCATTACATATTTTATATGATTCATATTAATTAAAATCCATGCTTTTGGATATGCTAAATTATATTTCCTTCGTAAAATAATTTTTTCATTGTACTAAAGAGACTAAACATAGCATTTGAGCATCATTGTTTCCAAGATAATAGTAAATAAGGACATCTTCCACATATTCAGAAAGATATACACAAACTTGTTGCAAATTTAAATTTCACATGTTAAAATGAAACACCATAAATAGGTCTTCTGAATTTAAAGCATCATAGTATAAAGCAAACATTACATGCATTGTAATGATAATAGTAAACATTTCTATAATATGTGTTTTTTTCTTTTAACAGTTTTCAGAAACACATACTATCTGCACAAGAAAATGTATGTCACTGGATATGGATTTCTATACTGAAATACTCAGACTTCTGCAGGAACTGCATTTTTTAGAGAGACATAAATTGCCAGTTTTTAAATGTACATTATAACTATAGTATGTCATATCCTCTATCTGATCAAAAGAACTTGTAATGAAAATTGGAACTTATGGTGATAATTTTGGAATTTAGATTTTGTTTTCTTTTTCTAATAGGCAGAGCAGTATTAGTATTGATGATTTCAATCTACATGTTCAGTTTTTTGTTTTTTTGTTTTTTTTTGAAAGCAGGATTTATTGAGAGGACAGAAAAACTCCCATAGTGGAAGGGGACCTGAGGGGGTTGCCCTACATGTTCAGTTTTATTGTAAGAGACTGGCCTGAAAGATGTACTCTTGGGTTCAAATTCCTGCCTGTCCCCTCTAGGTGCATCATTTTACACAACTGAAAAAAGGGGGGAGGATAATTATGATGCCTACTTTGGAGGGTTTTTTTGAGAATTAAAGAGGATAATTTGGGCAAAACACCTGAACAAATATTGGCCACATAAAAATGTTTATTATTATTATAGTGGATTAAATTTTTTAAGATGCATTAAAATATTAAATAAAATTGTCATCCTGATATTTTTTATTGTGTTAAAATACACAAAACATAAAAATTACCATTTTTAAATATACAGTTCAGTGGTATTACATACATTCATGTTCCTGCGCTACTGTCGCCACCATCTATCTCCAGAACTTTTGCATCTTCCAAACTGAAACTCCATACGCATTAAACACTAGCTCTCAGCTGGGTGAGGTGGCTCTGCCAGCAATCCTAGCACTTTGGGAGGCAGAGACAAGAAGATCTCTTGAGCTCTAGAGTTCGAGACTAGCCTATGCAACATAGTGAGACTCTTTCTCTATTGAAAAACAAAACAAAAACACTAACTTCCCATTCCTTTCTTCCCCCAGTCCCTGGCAATCTCCATTCGTACTCGCTGTGTCTATAAATTTCATTACCCAAGGGAGTTAAGTAATTTGACTATTCTAGGTAGTCATGTAAATAGAATTATACAGTATTTGTCCTTTGGTATCTGGCTTATTTTATCTAGCATAATGTCCTCAAACTTCATTGTAACTTCAGTGCGTGTCTGATCTCCTTCCTTTTTAAGGCTGAGTAACATTCCATTTATGTATATACCATGTTTTGTTCATCCATTCATCTGTCAATAGATGTTTATGTTGTTTCCACCTTTTGGCTATCATGGATAATGCTGCTATGAACATAGGTAGGAAAATATCTCTGTGAGTCCCTGCTTTCAGTTCTTTTTGGTACACACCAAGGAGTGGAACTACTGGATCATATGGTAGTACTATACTTCATTTTTTGAGAAACTTCCATCCTGTTATACCCTGGTATTTTCAACATACAGTCTTAACATGCAATTTGAAAAACATATTTTACAAGAATTGTGTTGTGCAGAACTTCAATTAGACTTTTAAAATTTCAAAATTTCTTTTAAATGTCAAAAAAAGACATTTGGAAACAAACTTGGTATTATAATGAAAGAATAATTTTAAACACATTTTAGGCTTCTTCTATGAGATTATATGCATAACAGTTCGCAGCAATATTTTCAGTCCTGTTTTGTTACCGACTCTTTTAGAAGTGGGCAAAATAAGTTTCTGACAGGCTGCATACAGCACACCTTCTCAATTCCAGATGAATTTGAAATTAACCATAAGAGTAGCTTATCCTTTTCAGGTCAGTTCCTTTTCTTGTAAGAACATCTGACAAGATTCTAATCAAAATCTTGTTGGCATTTCTCTGCAAGGATCCCAGACAATCAAACATTTAAGTGAGAACAAAACTTCTCAAAATTCATATTTTGGAACACTGTACTAGGCTGCCCAGTTTGGTTCAGATACTGCTATTTCTAGCTTACTCCTTCTCCTCCTTCAAAATTAAAACTCCTTTGTTCAGTATTTTCTTGACCCCACTCTTCCGGCCACAGTTCCTCTGTTAAGTGATCATTTATCTCAGCTCCCTGCCTACTTCCTCCATAATCACCTCGAACATTCCACAATCAGCTGGAACTTGGCATTCTTGCCGTGCAAGGCAGGATTTGACCCAGAAATACATGAATCTCCATTTTCAATTCCACCTGCCTTTTTCCCCCACCTCACACAGAGCTGCAAGTGTCTATGTTCTCCCCATATCGAAGTAGCCACTCAACCCAGATCTCAAAAATTATTAATTGTCAGAACATATACCCTCATTTGAAGTTTGGAATATATGATTCTCCCTCATTGCCAAGGTAGCCTGAGGTGAGTTGTGGCTCATGGAACATTTGACTGCAGAATGATAAAGACAAGTCTCAGAGGGTCTATTTTTTATTATTTATGTCTCCATCAATATCTATAGGATATGTATTCCATAAGATGGTGGTTTTGAAACTTCTGGGTGCAACAGATTCACTGAGAATGTTTGTTAAAACACAGATCACTGGGCCTTTTCCCTAGAGTCTGAGGCAGACTCAAGAATATACACTTCTAACAAGCGCACAGTGATGCTAATGCTGCTCATCCAGAGACGACATTTCGAAAACTACTGATGTAGACCTGCAATGGGAGAGGCTTCAGGTCAGGAATGCAATGATTTAAAGCTCCAAGGAGCACTAGAAAGCTTAGAAGGTGGCCAGGCTTGGTGGCTCAGTTTGTAATCCCAGCACTTTGGGAGGCTGAAGCGAGTTGATTGCCAGATGAATTTGAAATTAATTGCGAGCTCGAGACCCACCCCAGCAACTTGGTGAGACCTTGTCTCTACAATAAATTTAAAAAATTAGCTGGTCATGATAGTACACGGCTCAGAGTTCCGGCTACTAGGAAGGCTGAGGCGGAAGGATCGCCGGAGCCCAGCAGGTCGAGGCTGCGGTGGTTGAGAGCGTGCCACGGCACTCCAGTTTGGGTAACAGTGAGACTCCAACTCAAAAAAAGAAAGAAAGCTTAGAAGGTAGGCAAACCTGTATCTTATAAGTACATTGCCTCTAACTAGGAATTCAACTTTAATTTACTGAAAGTTATATTTTTTTCAATAAACATCTGCCTTAAAAAAGGAGAACAGTAATAAACAGAACTGACTTAAGTTACCAATAGCAAACAACAGGCAGTAAATTCCTATGTATTTCTCATTTAATAGAAATCATTTTACTCTTCTTCCTATGTCATCAATAGTGAATAGTGAATATATTCATTAAGAAGCTGATGTTTTGTAATTTACACAAGTCTCTAAAGAGTCTTTAGGCCAAATCAAGAATAGTCAAAGAACAAAGTAAAGAATCTTAACAAAACCTCAACATTCAAAAGAATAAGAAATATTTCAGCAAGAAAAAAAAAGAGTCATTGAAATAAACATTTACATTACAATGATTTTCTCATCAATGAACTGATATAAATCAATAAAAAAATCCTAAAGGAACTGAGAGGAAATGACAAAGGCATCAGTCGTTCAAATTTCCTTCTAATACCAGAATACCTTTTCTCAAAAATCCCTGAAAGAATAATAACAGACACATCTTCAACATTTGCTCTGCACCAATCACTGTGGCGAAATTCACATGAATTTTCTCCTTGAACACTTGTAATAACTTAAGAAATAGACACTATTATTATTCCCGTCTTACAGATCAATAGACCAAGGCGTGGACTAACTTGCCCAAGGAAACTCAGCTAAGGTAGTAAGGGAATCTTTGGAAATTAAACTGTAACAGAGCTTCTCAACATTTTCCCTTATTGCCCTGCTAAGAAGCCTTTTTAGACCTTTATTTTCCTAATCATACTCCATAAAATTTTAATATTACAGACACCTGTATATTTGTTATATGCTATATGTGTGTCTATGCTTTAAAAAAAAAAAAAGAGTAAAAAGATTTTTTTTGTTCCCCGAGAACCACTTTCCATTTCCTTGGAGGTACCATGGCCCCCGCTGGGAATGCATGCCCAGTACTCAAGCCATTCAATGCTACAAGGGAGGAATTGGCAGTCGCAGGATGCAGGACGCTGCCAGGGAAGGGGGCGAGGAGAAGTGCCATCACAATGGATACCTGATCCTAAACCAGGGGAAGTGAGGACCAGTTGGAGGCTCAAACTTCACTTGCCTGTAGACTACTCATATACCTACTCCTGACCTGTACCCCACATCTCAATAATTAAAAAAAATTTTTTTTAAGTCACTGTGGCTCCCGTGTCTACTCAGCACTTGAAATGTGATAGTTGTGACTAAGATGTGCTGTAAGATTTCAGGACGGAAACAAGAA